GGCCTTGGACACGCCCAAGCCTCACCCCATGACCGTGGCCTTGGACATGCCCAAGCCTCACCCCATGACCGTGGCCTTGGACAGGCCCAAGCCTCACCCCATGACCGTGGCCTTGGACAGGCCCAAGCCTCTTTTTATCACTGTGGTTACGGCCACAGTCTAGGCTTTGCTCATGACTTTGATTCTGGGCTTGACCCTGACCAGGACAGAGACCCCTCCTCACATTTCCCAGTGCATTTGCAAGTGATGCAGACACACCCAGGTCATCCCCCCTTGCAGGTAGAGGTGGCTAGGAAACAAGCTCAGAAGAAAAACAACGAGGCCCCCCTCCCCCACCAGATTAAAAGGCACAATGCGAAGGTGTGTGAGGGTTCTGGCAGCTACTGTTAACTTCCCAAAGATGTGGGCTCTTGGAGCACCTGAACTGACGCTGGGCCATTGGAGGAAGAACCTATTTTACCTGATGGATAAGAACACAGAGGCCACTGTGAGAAGACCCTGATGGAGGCCTAGAGCGGCAGGGCACGGCGGTCCCTGAGCCCTCGGCCACCTCGGCTGCAGCCAGGGCCACCCTGGTGCTAGGCAGGTGATCTATGAGCTGCCTTCCGGGGACTTCCTGCTACGTGAGGGTCGGTCTCACTGTGGGGCTGGCGTCTGACAGTGAAAGCGTGCGATCTTGAGGCAAAGTGGGGCCTTACTTCTGGTGCACGATGTAGGTGACGACAGAGGTGAGGAGGCAAAGCAGCATGACGGCGGTGCAAGCGTATACCACGGGGTGCAGGAACTCCCCCGGGTACTGGGACGGGGAGAGGGCGGTCTTCAAATCCTGGGAAGAACACAGCAGACCGTGTGAGCAGGAACCACGCACCTGGCAGAGCTGCCTGGAGCCCCATGTCTGGCCCCTCCCCTGTAAGCCACTGGGGCGTCTGTGGAGTCGAGCAGAGGTCTGTGGCGGGTGCCCTACTTCCTGGGAATGCACCTATCTGAGGGCCGCAGACGCCATGAGGGTCTGTACAGAGCTGTGCAGAGAGCCAGCGACCGCAGCAAACGCCCCCAGCCCCACTTCCCAGCCTCAGGCACACGGAGATTCTGCTCTGCAGTATCTCCCAGGAGAATTCCGGGTCATGCCCCTGGAGCCAACTCCAGTCCTGCAGAAAGAGCAGTTGCTCTGATGGGATGGTGTGGCCCCGAGGCCCTCTGGAGAGCATCGCAGCCCAGGGGCAAAGGCCGGAGGTCCAGGGGGAACGCGTTTCCCACAGGGACGTGAAGCTGAGGGGCAAGACTCCTGGCTGGACATGGGAACTGAGGGAGGTTTGTCTTTTTGTCCATCAGACTGGTGATGGGAGCTCCCATGGTGTCGGCATAGGCAGGCCCAAGATTCACCTGCCCCGGGACCAGGTTCCCGAGCCGCCAACAGAAAACACGGCAGCAGAGCCCAGCGCCATGCGGGCTGGCCTCGCACAGCCCGCCGGGCACCCAGCAACCAAGTCTGGTGATTTCTGCGTGCTGGAGGAGAGGGCCCCAAGGGTACAGACCCTCCCCTGCTGTGCAGGCTGTGGAGGCGCCGACGGGAGCCCTGGCCTCATGCACCTCAGACCTCTGACCTCTGACATGCACTGAGCAATGTTCCAGACCCTTCATGTGTTGTAACTCACCGAGTCACAGGGAAACCCTGCTGTGGACTGAAACCTATCCCTACAATTCGGGGGTTGGAGTCCTCATACCCCACGTGACTGCAGTGGGGCGGGCCTTTATGGGGGTGACTAAGGTCATGAGAGGTCATAGGGTGAGGCCCGGTTCAATAGGACCCACCTCCTCATAAGAGGGAGACTAGGGCACAACCTGCCCAGAGGGAGAGTCACTGGAGGACACGGCGAGCAGGCGGCTGTCCACACGTCCAGGACGGTGTCTTCAGGAGAAACAATCCTGTGACACCTTGACCTTGGGCTTCCAGGCTCCAGGACTGACAGACAGTTCTGTATTTTAACCTGCTCTGCCTGGGGCGCTGGTTATGGCTGCCCTGCACCCTGGGGTGCTGGTTACGGCCCCCTCTTCCCCCATCCCGCTCCCGGGTGCTGGTTCCAGCCTCTCTCCACCCCCTGCCCCCAGGTGCTGGTTCCAGCCACCCCCCACACCGGGTACTGGTTGCGGTCACCATAGCTGACGGATACACCCCATTAGGTGACTGCTCTTGTTCCCACTTTCCAGGTCAGAGGGTGAAACCCTTTCTTGACCCCTCAGCTCATGCTCTGAGCCACACGCTCTGCTCCCATGGCCGCCAGGACCTGCCCGGCTTGGGGAAGGCAGATGGGGGCTAGTGCCCACAGAGGGCTGCCTGGGCGTCCCCTGTGAGACCTCACTGAGCTGCCCTGCTGTGACACCAGGCTGGTGGGTCTGCAGCCTTGCCAGCAGTGCCCAAGGCGGATGCACCACCACCCGCGCTAACATGGGCTCTGGGTGTGCGATGGGCTCCTCCCTGGGCGGTTGGGACAGCAGGAAGCAGCCGGTGCTCCTCCAGGATGGTGCCCAGACTGAGTCATGCGGGAAAAGGACAGAAATGCCCTTGAAGGGCCCTTGGCCTCGCCACGGCCGGGAAGGCAGTGTGTCCAAGAGCTCGAGCTGCTTCCTTTCTTGGTGGATCAGTTCTTGTCAGCAAAGACGAGGCCCTGGCCAGTCAGGGAAGGTCAGATTCCTCAGAGGGACTTCCAGGGACAGCCAAGGGCCACCCTGGTGTCCAGCCGTGGCCTCTGCACCCTGATCTTGCTCTGCCCAGGGACTTTCCAAGGAGACCTCTCTGCTGTCATGGCAACAGCAGATGGAATCCTGTCACCAAGGGAAAGGTGCCGAGTGACCTGGACACCAAGGCACTCCTCCCATTGTCACTGCTGAAGGACTAGCTGACTATCAAAGCCGGAAGTATCACCCCTGACCCAGCAGCTGGCCAGATGTAACCAAAGGAGGAGCACCGTGTCTCGTGGTAGGCTGTAGGCTGGACCCTATGGGGGCCCCCATACCGTCCTGACTGTCCACGGGCCAGGAAGCCTGAAGGGCAGGTGTGGACGTGCACAGAGCACCAACGACTCCCATCCAGATGACGGGGGTTTCAGCAGGACCCACGCTGCACACGCGGCCCCAATTCCCACGAAATCCTGAGCTCAGGAGCGCAGACAGCCAGAGGATGCCGGCTTCAAGGTGACAGGGACGCCACGGCCGCAGGCCCCCCGGGACTAGTGGATACAGCTGGGCCCGTCCCAGTCTCTACACCCACACCCAACGGAGGCTTCGCACCAGGGCACGCACGTCGCCCGGGGCCTTTGTGGCCGTGGCGGGTGCCTGCCGGGCTCTCCATCCTGCAACGCAAGGACAGGTTTCCGTGACGCGGGACACAGCTATCTGTTGCTGAGAGCCAGGAAGTCACAGCCCAGCTTGTCTGTCTCCCTGGGGCTCGCTCGGCTCCCCAGGATGTGCCGGCTGCTGGAAGCGCTCACGCACCCTTCCCTGCCGCCCCAACTTCTGGAGCGCTCCCTGTGGTGCCGGAGAGCTCACCATCAGCTGGCACCAGCGTCCTGACAATTGTAAACCATGGCAAAAGTCTAGGAAAACAAGTTTTCCTGGTCAAGTCCTGATATGTAATTAACTTCTCACCGCCGTTTCTTCTGAAACCGTCTGCTGCTGACAGGTGGAGAGCGGCCCGGCCGACTGTAGGAAGTCAGCGCCCCAGAGATGGCCCAGGCTCTCGTGTGTGTCATTTGTTCTTCTCCCAGAGACAATGGCTTTTAACCTGGGGTCTGAAAACTCTGACACTCTTGACCTGGAGCCCCCTGGCTGCTGGGACAGGGTTCCTGTGTGCGGAGCCCGACTCGGGTTGAGGCCCGAGGTGGGACTCCCAGTCCTTTCATGGCCTTTCTTGGGGTGTTGTCATCACTCCCCCAAAGGCCCGCACCTTCCTATTGGGGGCAGGGGCAGGGGTGGCGGGTAGAGAGGGGCTGGGAATGACAGCCTGCGCATCCTAAAGCAGAGTCTGCCGTGATGCCTGGTGCCCCGTGTCCCCACGCAGCATCCCAGGGTTGGAGCAGTGTGCCTGGCGCCCAGGACCTGCACCAGAGAACTCATGCCTAAGGGCATCCTATCTGCCAAGTCTTATCCACACACCCCAACCCCTTTCTGCTAAGCCAGTGGGAAATCAGACCTCGTTCCTGCCACAGGCAAGTGCATCAGGGTGTCAGCTCAAGACGCAGTGTTTCCTGAGAACGGTGCCCAGGCCAGCACACATCGCCGAGGTCACCCCGCTTCAGGGGCGTTTTCTCATCCGAGAGCCTGGTTTTGAGGCAGCGGCGGGGGGGGGGGGGCAGGATTTCTGAGCTCTGGAGTAGTTGCACCAACAATGTGCATTTTATAAGAAACAGAGCTTCAAATCCATTCGGCCTCCTATTTTTTTCCTCCAAGTTAGTTATCAACTGTGCCTTTCTACATTTTTAGAGGTGACATTTAAAATTCAAAGTAGGTAATGCAAAAGGGAGATATTATTCTATATTTTAAAGTTCACACGTGTACGAGTTCCTCCTGGAGGAATTTGCAAGCGTCCCACAGATAAGATCCTTGTGACATGTGGGGCTGCCTCCCCGGGACCGGTCCCTCAAGTGCCTTGGGACCAGCATGGACCTCACATCAGAGAGGCTGGGCTCAGTCAAGAGCCCATCCTGCTGCTGTGGCCCCCAGCCCGCGATCGCCGCTCACTGCTCTGCCCTACCCTCAAGAAGAGGGTCAGCACGCAGACACTCACAGTGTCTCTCCTGCTGGGAAATCCGGGCTTCCATCTTCCACGGGCTGGCCTGGGTTCTCTGTGGAGCCTGGAGGCTGGGCGCGCTCGCCTGTGGTTTGCTTGTATTTTCCCTTTTCTTGAGGCTTACCTTCCTCTTATGTTTCATTATTATTTTAGTTGGATGTATCCTCTTTGGTATGTTCTACAAATAAATCAACTTGGATGTTAAGAGAGAGAGACAAGAAGAAAGAGCAAGGTGGTATTATGTCAGGTGTCAGTGGTTTGATCAAGACGGGGCCATTTTGCCAGAAGGGGGCGCGTAGGAAAGTGGCCTCTTCCACCCGGGAGATGCAGATGGTCCTTGGCGTCCCCCTCCGCCTCTGTTCTGTACCGACTGAGACGGATCTCATTATTAGTCCCCGACGTCCCTTGTCTGTGTTTTTAATGATCATTGCATCTCATCGATCTGTCAGCCTTCTGTGAAAGTGTCCCAGGGGAAAGGCAGAGGCAAAAGGTAAGTAATTTATTCATTCGGAGCACAAATTACCCTAATTGGACATCACATTTGTACAGTTTGTTACATTTTTCTCTTGGCAGGGTGTGCGGGAAATAGCACAGGGACTCCTGCTGACCTAGGGTTACCGGCCTCAGGGGTTAACATTCAGGGGAGTATTGGGGGTGACACAGTCTCCATTTCTGGGATGAAGGTAAGCTCGTAAATTTTTAGAAATTTAAGTATGAGGCTGAATGAAGAGTAGCACAGGGGACAACTGGTGGGGTTCTGGGCGTGTGCAGGTTCGTGCAGGTGCCTACAGATGTGTGCAAATCCTTGCAGCTGTGTGCAGGTGCATGCAGTGCGTGCAGGTGCTTGTAGGTGCGTGCAGGTGCGTACAGTGCGTTCAGGAGCGTGCAGGTGCGTGCAGGCGCTTGCAGGTGCTTGTAGGTGCATGCAGGTGAGTGCAGGTGCATGCAGGTGCTTGCAGGTGCGTGCAGGTGAGTGCAGGTGCGTGCAGGTGAGTGCAGGTGCATGCAGGTGCTTGCAGGTGCGTGCAGGTGAG